TTTAAGGCAGGGTTGGTATATAGACACCATTTGTAGTTTAAGGCAGGGTTGGTATATAGACACCATTTGTAGTTTAAGGCAGGGTTGGGGGAGTTCAAGGCAGGGTTAGGGTAGGGTTGGGGTAGTTTAAGGCAGGGTTGGGGGAGGACGTTGATTTCTATGATAGCTGCCAGATCAATGGTATTTAGGAAAATGTAGCCATAAATTGCTGTGTGAGGTTCTCCTAATAATTTCTTCACAGTCGTAGCTTTTAAACTGTTAAAGATATCTTGATGAAACTTGGTCACTGGGACCTTGAACTCAAATAAGTGCATACTTTTCAGGATCATCTTCCCATCTTCCGTAACTTTAAAACTGTTGCAGATATCATGCAGAAACTTGCAGTACCCAAAGACAATTTGCAGAACACTATCAATAGGTCACTGTGACCTTGACCTGCGTCACCTACTGATTGTGTACAGTGCTCTGTCATTAGGTCACTGACTTCAATCTCAAAGTCAAAGGTTAAATAAGTGCAATCTTTTCAGTTGTAACTTTTTAAACTGTTAGGGTACTATGACCATCTGCGTGATAGCTTTTTAATTGCATTGATTCATAATATGTATTTGATAATTTAGTAGTAGGCAGTTCCTCTAATAACCTAGATATGTTAGAAATTAAATACAAATTTATTGGACTTTATTCAAGTAACTTTATTTTGCAAGAGAAGGGGAGAGAATATTGGCTAACAAGGGGAGACATTTGTTTTTTATCTCAAAAACAAATCTATTTTTTTTCTTCAAATTATTGAAAAAGCTGATATTGTGTTTTACAATGCAATAATTTGAAATACATGATTCACCTTGCTACTTTTACAGGTGAATATAGGACATTGTGCCCAGGTGGACCAGGCTTTAAGCCCTCTATTGACCTGATCCTCGAAGGTAAATACAATGTGAATGTTACAACTCAATGTCCAAATATTACAGTTTTTATGATACCATGTGATCAAAAGTAAATTCTGATGGTAGGGAGAAGAGCATACTACAGGACAGTGAAATAGCACTTGTTGTCGTTTCTACTGAACTGCAATAGAAATGGTTGGCTTATTACCAGGCTTAGTCTTCTTGCCAAATAAATACAATAACACCAAATGTTATATTGACACTGTACTTGGATTTCTAACGTTGTGTAAGTTATATAACTTTTAGGTTAGGGTGTGATGGATTTTACTGGGTTAATTTCTCAGTTAATTTCAAATGTTGTCCAAGTTTAAGTCAGTGTGTAATTTTTTAAACTGATTTTATGGAATAGCATTTGAACAATTTTTTATAAATCTTAATTTTGTTCCATGTAAATGCAGATATTGATGAGTGTGAGGAGCTGCAGAATATCTGTAAGGGTGGCGAGTGTCAGAACACATTTGGCAGCTTCATCTGTGTGTGTCCCACTGGCTACAGACTCCACAACCACCAGTGTATTGGTAAGTGACTCACATGTCAGAACACATTTGGCAGCTTCATCTGTGTGTGTCCCACTGGTTACAGACTCTACAACCACCAGTGTATTGGTAAGTGACTCGCATGTCAGAACACATTTGGCAGCTTCATCTGTGTGTGTCCCACTGGTTACAGACTCTACAACCACCAGTGTATTGGTACGTGACTCACATTCGGGCCAAATTAGTGTCTACCTCATGATTTACAAGTCAGTCAGGAACTTGACATTGACAGAACTCCTGACCACAAACTGTAAGCTGCAATTGGGTCAATAGGTCAACGGTCAAGATCACTGTTACTGCTGCTGGGATTTTGTGGTTTCAGTGTGCTAGTTCTCAATCCTTTGACCATACAATACTGAGAGTACATACATGCTGTAATCATTTAATTATTTACAAATGTTAATTTTTAATATGTTTTCTTTCAATAACCTAGCTAATTCTTGATTAATGTATGCATATTTGAATTCACAATCTGTTCTTGAGATTTAGTACAAAATAACCTAAATATCTGGTAAAATATAAGTGATAAACATTAAATGTCTTCTTAAAGAACAGCTTGTGTTTGTAGATATTAATGAGTGTGTTGAGGACAGCACCCTTTGTGGAGAGGGAACCTGTATGAACACTCAGGGCAGCTACAGATGTGTGTGTCCCAATGGCTACATACCCATGGAGGGCGATATTGACTGTATGGGTGAGTATCGCCAACCTAACAAGAACACACAATAGGATTCTTCTTTAACACACTGTCTGTTTGCTCCACTTTTCTTTAATGTTGAGGAATCAGTGATAGCTATATGAACTGAATGTTTTCTTAAGATTATTTCGTAAAGACATGACTGACAACAAAGGCAAACCGTGCCCAGCATACCCTTTACTGGGAAAAATGTTTTCTGAAGGACTTTTCACTCTCAGGAATGAAAATAACACCATTTTGACTGCATATATAAGTTAACCGCTTACTATATATAAAAACAAAAACAATAAATATAAACATAACCTTTTTTGTTTTTTCCATGTAAAGGGCGAATATTTTTCTGGTTGAAATATTTCTGTTACGTACACTGTAACAATATAACAATCTGATAAATGTTTTTAATGCATCAAATAGCTGATGAAATGTTCCATTTGTTGATTCTTTGTTTTGTTTGCAGACATGAGAAAGGGTGACTGTTTCCCCACCTACTATACTACCACACAGCCTCCCTTCACTCTGGTTTGTGAGAGTCCCATCGCCTACAACATCACGCGGGTCGACTGCTGTTGTACCACCATCGGCCAGGCCTGGGGGCAACCCTGCGAGGCCTGTCCCCCCAAACGATCAGGTAAATAGGATCTAGTAATCAAAGGGTAAATAGTGTAGGAAAGACTTGTGTAGGTAAATACAAAAGATGTTGTAAAAACTGTTTTTAAGTAAATACAGTGCACAGCACATGTAGGTAGATAGTAAGTGTATATGTTTGATTATAATGTATAGGTAGTACATTATATTCTAAAATAAGGCTAAACAAATTAATTACTTGAATTTGTTCTCAGGCCAATTTTTTTCAAAAGAGATGCGGCAGGGAGGTAAAAAAAATAAATCATTTTACATGGCAAAAATTAGACGAGGGGGATTTTTTTTATTGTGTAGTTTGTAAAACGTTCATTGTGAGCATTACCTTGTCTTTTTATAGTTGTGTAGAGACCCGTCATAGAGCAAGCCTCCGAAAATCCCCCCACGATGTTCCAGATGNATCAATTTCCTTAACTTTATTCAAACGTTTTCGGGACTTGGGTGACTAACGAGTAAAAACGACATGATGAACCAATTTTCCGGATTTTTTTTAAAGACGGCAGCTGGGGCATTCACAATATTTTTTTTGTTACTTTCACGATAAAATCGGCAATGCGGTGCCCTGAAATGAAATGCGCACGGGCCTGAGAAGCAAGTAATCAAGTTTTTTTGGCCTAATTTAGGTGTATTGTAGTAGTCACTTTTGGTTACAGAACAGAATATTGCCATTGGTTAAAATGGTTTCTAAAAGTTGGGTTTTCAAACATCAATTTGGTATTATTTAAGCATAGATTGTTTCATGTTTCTTTGTTATGAATTAAAAATTGACAATTTAGATTTGAGAAGTATAATAATACACAAGCCAATCTCATAGCAATTAATCCTCTTAAAATCCTGTCTCAATGGACTGAAAGCTATACCAGAGACATCTGATTTCTGTTCATAGATACAGGATGAAACATGGTTTACCTGAGCATCAATGTGTGTTTTAAAAATTAAGAAAGTTGATTATGAGACTAGACAGTGTTCTTTATATAGTTTTTGTGTTATATTTTCAGCTGCTTATGCCGACCTTTGTGAGCCCGAGAGGATAGGAGAGGGTTAGTAGAACCAACCAATATTTCAATCATTCTGTAACTCCTTGGACAAATACTGTATAGTTTTGTAATTTCTCAGAGCTAATATTTCACAGTTTAGCCAACCAGAACTAGTTCGAGTGATTAATTTTCGCACTACATGACACAGGAGGATACTTTTGATTTTTGGTGATGGGATTTATTTTATAAGTGATTTGTGAAAATATAGTAAAATGTGATATATTGAGTTGTTTTGTCTTCATTCTAGGCAGTAAACAGGAAAACAGATTTTTCTTATAATGTCTATAATTATATATTCAGAGATTGTTATTCGTTGTTGCCATTTGCTGAGAATTTCACGAATATAGCAAAATTAATAAATCACCTGCAAATATTACCAACTATACAGTATATTTGTTTAATGTGAACTAAATCTCTTCTCCAAATTATTAATGCTGTTCTCCAATGTTTTCAATAGAAAATGTCATGCTTTTCAACAGGTATCAATGAATGCGAGAAATTCCAAAGGATCTGTGAAAATGGTCGTTGTATTGATACCTTACAAAGCTTCAGGTGTGAATGTTTTGATGGCTACGAGTACAACCCAACATCCTATAAGTGTGAAGGTAAGGGAACCTGTTATTATTGTGAAGGTGTAATTTTCAATGACAAGACCAGTGTATATTGGCCTTTTCAGATTCTTGTTATCCTTTCACAATAACATTGGGAGGGAAAATAGTGTTCTATTCGTATTTAGATACATTTGTTCATCTTTGTCTGTGGTCTAGCATCTTCATTTGTGAAAGGATTTTGATGAAACATCATATTTTTGTCAAGTATGAGAATTTATAATATATAAATTGAACCTGTGTGATCCACAAACCTAGGATGAACAAAACTGTTGGTCATGTTGCAAAACGAATGTTGCTTTTGTAGAGAAATTAGATTATTCCAATGTGAAGGCTACAACAAATTTTTAACATAAAAACAGATTTTGTTTTCAAGCAGAGGTGTACAAATTCATATCTACAGTACAAGTCTGCATGCAGATTTAATAAAATTCTGCTATATCCCAACCTACAATTTCATTGTAAAAATTGAGAATTTTTCTCTAGCCCAGACATCAAATTTACCAGCTCCAGGGTAGGGGTAGTGTAATTTTACACCTCTTATTTTATGCTTTCAGAAAAGGTAGAATTAAATAAGGGTATGATGTTGATAGTGGGATACTAAATAACAAGCATGTATTGCCGACAGATAAAAAAGAATTCTTTATTCCTGTTATTGGTTAATATGATGCCTGGTATTTCAGACATTGACGAATGCCATTTGACGGGAGAGTCGCCCTGTAAAGGTTATGCCCAGTGTATCAACACCCCGGGTAGCTTTACCTGTCAGTGTCCACCAGGGTACAAGCTATCTCCTGGGGGACGGCGCTGTCTCGGTAAGTATTACTCCCAATTTAATTTTGCAGAATCTTAGACATTCTTATTAAGACCAACTTGTGGCATATCAATTCCCCAAGTGATCAGAAAGTAGTTTAATGAAACTAGGCCTTTGTGGATGTGACCATAAAATAATCCATGGCAAACTGTATTTAACTTCAAAAACTGCTGTAAACATGTATTTCTAAAAAATACTTAAAAATGAAGACAATTTTTTGAAATGTGTCCGTAAATATGGATATTTTTGTAAGTCTCATACTGGAGTGATCAGTAAGAGTTTGCTATAATTTGAAACAGAAGACGTTTTTCCTGAGAAATTATTGATAATTTGTTTAAAAAAAATGATGGAGGTTGAAGAAGAATGTCACTTATAACTTATTTTGTGGATTTGTGAAACTTGAATTTGTTGCATAACAAAGTTTAAAAATACAAAATTGTCTGTGTTTTCAAAGTCTGTAGGAAAGTGAATGGATTGTACTAGTAAAATACCCCATCAAAGATACATATTGATCCGAACCAAAAATGTGAGATATTTTGTCTGCTACAGATGCCAACTTTAATTTGTAGATTTGAAAACAATCTTTGAATTGTAGATAGGTACGTTACTTAATATATGTAAAAGTTGTAGATTGTTAATCTGGTTTAATTTGCAGATTAAGTGATATACTTCAATTTGCAGATGACTTATACTACTTTGATTTGCAGATGACTATGCCACTATTTCTTAATATATGACATTTGTACGTTTGATTTATAGATGTGAATGAGTGTGAGGAGCTGGCAGGTGTATGTATCAATGGAGAATGTGATAACCTAGACGGCAGCTTTAGATGTACCTGTTTCCCAGGCTTCCGACTCAACACTAACCGAGATGCCTGCATCGGTGAGCACTACAGCCAGCAAATGGATAAACTTAGTCACGTCAAAATTACAACAGAATCAAATCTGTAAATAGACATGAAAGTAATGTTCAATTGCACCAAGCTCGGGATAGGTAGGTTTACTTATTAGTATTATCATTCAGGTCCTGAAGGGACCCACTGTTCGGGCGAAACCAGTAGACACATACTAATAAATATACCTACCTATCCCAAGCTTGTTGCAATTGAATATTACTTTTAGTTTTCCCCTATTCCTCAAGCGCCCTGCATACTTGGTATCCAAGCAAGGGATAACGGGACCTACAGAACTTATACTAGAAGTACGGTGTTGGCTCTACACCTCGATGGATGTAAATAGATATGATCTATTATTGAAGGTAAAATCTGTAATAAGAGCCAAACCAGCCTTGTTTGTCAAATAAGCCAAGCTATACCCAACCTGTTATAGTCTACACAGGTCTGATGGAAATACATGAACTTGTTTAAGTCACCTGACCTGGAGGCTGTAATGAGCTATTACCCTTTATCTTCTTCCATGTGTATGTTTTCCTCTGTTGTCAGTCTGTCATTTGTCTTTTGTAAACTTTTCTTTACATTTCTGACCTTTTCTATGAAAACACCTAAGAGATGTAGTTCAACTAGCAGATTTTAATGTTTATTGGAAAAAGAAACCTGAAATTAGTTTCTTGTTAAGAGTACAACATTATATATATTTATTAGTTGATAAAGATTGATTTGACCTGTTGACTATATTTTCAGATAGAAATGAATGTACAGCTAGACCTGGGCGCTGTAGGAATGGAACGTGTGAGAATCTTATTGGAGGATTCCGCTGCCATTGCTCTCCTGGGTTCATCGTGTCCGGCAACCAAGACTGCCAAGGTTGGTACATAATACTGTCAGGAAAATTCTGATTCCTATCATCACAGTTTAAGAACAGCATAAGGAAATTATACAGTAGTGTAAATCAGGGAAATTATACAGCTGTGTGAATCGGGGTCAGATAGGGTTTGGGTGGCATTCAGCTTTTCTCATGAGCAGACAGTCTCTGTGGAAAATATGTGAATGTGAATTTAAAAACACTAACAGATATGCACCTGTATTACTTTACATTGTCTCAATATTGGTTGTTCTCTGGTGACCAGATTGTAAGCATTGTGACACNATGTCAAAATGGCCGCTGCATCAACACGTTAGGCAGCTTTACCTGTGCATGTCCCCAGGGTTTCCAGATAACTAGAGACGGCATGGACTGTCGAGGTAAGTCACCAAGATACATGAATAGGACATGGACTGTCGAGGTAAGTAATAAAGATACATGAATAGGACATGGACTGTCCGGTAAGTCACCAAGATACCTGAATAAGACATGGACTGTTGGGGTAAGTCACCAAGATACATGAATAGGACATGGACTGTCCGGTTAGTCACCAAGATACATGAACAGGACATGGACTGTCCGGTAAGTCACCAAGATACCTGAATAAGACATGGACTGTCCGGTAATTCACCAAGATACATGAATAGGACATGGACTGTCAAGGTAAGTCACCAAGATTCATGAATAGGACATGGACTGTCCGGTAAGTCACCAAGATACATGAATAAGACATGGACTGTTGGGGTAAGTCACCAAGATACATGAATAGCACATGGACTGTTGGAGCTAGATGTCAAGATAACTAAAGGTCCTGTTTGAAATTCAGAGGTTATAATCTAATAGACATCCTATCTGCAACTTTGGATATTCTTATGATAGAATTGAAGGTTCTGGGTTAGCTATTTGGTTGGTTACAGACATCAAACAATGACCAATCACCAATGCTGATAGAAAAGTAGTATTAGTGACCTTTGAAGATTATCAAAGGTTTCTCCGAGATCAAAGCTGGTTAATTTTACTATTAAGCTGCCACATGATTCACTTCACATTTCTATGAAAGCAATATATTTGAGATGACAGATATGCAGGATTCACTAACAGCTTCCAAACACAAATTATCCACAAGATGGTAAGCCCAGGGAATTTTGATTTTTCATGAGGAAATTCAAGAGTGAATAATTAATATCAGGAGCAGAGCCCTTGGATTTGGAAAATTATTTGAAGAGACAGCAAAAACTGTTGGGTTATTCATTCGTCCAGTTAACACGTGATAACATGAGAAGGTAGTTTATAAATGATAATAATGATACTTCATTTTCTGAGCATACATCATTTAGATAGCTAAGACAACATGGACAGACAGACAGGGTAGTTAACTCTCTGAGAAGGACATGATTGAATTCAGGAGTCATTTTCAGGAAGAAAAAAATGTTGGACTGGCCTCAGTTTGGAGCATATGTATTTTGATATTAAGATGATATAGACAGATGGTCTCAGTCAGCAGATACTAACTATAATTTGTAAGGCTTAATTGATACATCAGATACTTTATGTTACTTAAGTATATATGTTATGGTTATGTATGTTTTTATGTTGGTATTTCAGATATTGATGAATGTGTGGAGCGAGACAATGTATGTCTGGCTGGAAGCTGTCTTAACAGTGAGGGCTCCTACAAGTGTATCTGTCATGAGGGCTACACATTACAACAGTTGGACAACAACCAGTTTTGTATTGGTAAGTACCAGCTACTAGAAAGTCTTTATCCCACGGCAGTCACACCAGTAACTACATACTAGCAAGTTTATCCCGTTACATTTGTTCGTTTTGTGTTTTACGTCCTATTAACAGCTATGGTCATTTAAGGACGTGCCAGGTTTTGGTGGTGGAGGAAAGCTGGAGTACCTGGAGAAAAAACAGCGACCTGCGACCAGTACCTGGCGGCTTCACCATGTAGCCCTCAAACCTGTAGCCCAGTGGTGGAGGGCTAGTGATCATAAATGGTCAGATGCCCTAAGGACTTCGCCACTGCAGCACCATTGTCCTGTTGCAGCTACAAATATACTCTACAGAGAATTGATAGTGTTTAATTGGATTCGATTGAACGATTATGCGAGATCAATTTGTAAACATTTCAATATCCTATTGTTTTGAAACTGCTTGGAAATTTGTTTCACTGATTTCTGTGTTATCCTTTTCTTTTTCAGATGTGAACGAGTGTGAAACTGTTCCGGGTGTGTGTGCTAATGGTCGGTGTGAGAACATTGACGGAGGATACCGCTGTCAGTGTCCACCTAACACCATTCTCACGGATGATGGCATGATGTGTCTGGGTAAGTCTGATACTGTTGTACAGTAAAATACTGATAAAACTCATCCTTCAAACAGTCTATTATCATATGGTAGGGTGATAAAAATTAGGGATACATCAAGATCATTGTATCAGTCTCATTATCCCCTTTCAAGGCCAGCTGCAACTTAAGGGTTAATCATGTCTCTTGGATTTCAGTTTCAATAAAAGTGTTGAAGTCTGAATCAGAAGTAACGGTTTATTTTCATATATTGTTGCTTCGGGTGAACAGCAAACAAGGGCAATGTGAATTATTGTTTGGTACACCTGCATTGATTTTTTTGGTGTTTATATTATTATATTTGTATGTTTTTCAAAAATTTGCAAAAAAACTGAATTGTTAGCCTCTCTGACTAATTATAGAAAGTAAATTTGTTAATTGTGTGAACGTGTCAAAAATTATAGTTGTTATGCTGTAAATTCAAACTTTTCCTGTCAGTGTTTCCATTGTAAACTAACATATGATGAAAGTTTAAACAAAATAACCAATAATCTGATAATAAGTTGAAAAGCTTTCAGAGTCTAGCAGAATAATGATCTTTAGAGTTTACTGAATTGTTGACCTTTGATTCCAGATGTAAGGGAAGGAAATTGCTTTGGGCGGTTTGCTAGTGGTCTTTGCCTTGATGCCTTCACCAGGAATATGACCAAGGCAGCGTGCTGTTGTACAGTGGGACAGGCCTGGGGAAACACCAACCTGTGTGAGGTGTGTCCTCAGCGAGGTGAAGGTAAGGTCAGAGGTCATACAGGTCATACAGGTCATAAAAACCTGCTTTTGTGAAATGTGAACTGAGTGAGATGAAGGAAAGGTCAGAGAGAAGTTAAGGTCAGTGGTCATACAGGTCATCAGATCCTGACAACATCAACCTTCTAGAGGTCTTACTGATAATCAGGCCCAACAACAGCCTATTTGAGGTATGTTGGCCCTCGGTGAGAATAAGATAAGTCGGAGGTTGTACAGGTCATTTGGCCCAATCAATCCTAAACTGATAATGTAAGCCTGCTTGTCTTCTGAAGGCTGCCAGTACTGTTGTGTTATATAAACACTAGATCTTGCACAGCTGTTATAATTATATAGTGACAGAATGCTGTCAAAATGTCTGTATCACTTCAGGTAGACACACAGTCTGAAATATTGCACAAACTACATTCATTATTTGTGAAAACCGATGTTGTTTTGATACATTGTTTGTCTTTAAGTATTGCCCTCCTGATGTTTTCCCCAGCTCTCCTGTCAGCTTGCTCAACAAAATTTGGACAAATGGTGGCAGTAATAGGGAAACACTGTATAAGAAATATATTTTGATCATTTCCAGCCTTTTTTAAAATGATCTAACAAATTTTCAAACAATATGTTAATGGCTGAGTAAGTTTGTGTATTGTTTTCCAGCCAGCTTTGATGCATTATGTCCAGACACTGGAGTAATCACAAGCCCCGACGGTGGAACTATGGGTAAGGACTTCCATAATTTTGAGTCACTTGAGGTTAAAAAACAATTTGCTATCAACATTGATGCCAAATAATGATACAAGTAACCACTCTGGATAGGGAATTTTATACTTTGAGACCAAATATAACAATTTTTCCTTTAATACCTAATCAAAAAGGCTTCATACTTGTACTAAAAAGAAGTATTTCAATCATATAACAATGACCCTTGACCTTTTCTTATAGATGTCAATGAATGCATGATGATTCCTGGCCTCTGTGAGAACGGTCAGTGTGTCAATACTGACGGGTCATTCCGGTGCGAGTGTGGTCAAGGCTTCGTCTTGGACAATACAGGTCGGAGATGTGTGGGTGAGTATCTAACATGCATGGTCAAAGTTACAATTTCTAACCTCATGATCCCCATATTGCTTGAATGATGAAATAAACAAATTATCATATTCGGGTAAAATGTTTGGTATATAGAATCTTTCACCTTAATTGTTTTATAATTTAGTCTATTCAGTTATTATATTAAGGAGGTTTGACATTAATGAATATCTTTCTGAATTATTGAAATAAACGAACTATAATCAACAAGAATGTTCTGAGTTAAAAAAAAATCAGTGGGGCAAGACTGAAATTCGAACCCTGGTCTTCAGATTGATATACTATCGCTGTGACAGATTGAGATATCTGGTCAAAGGAAATGTACTAGGCCAAATGTGATACAGTTATGTCTAAACAGAAGTTAAGGGGAGGTTACTGTATGTGGGAAAAACCACAGTGCAGTGGGACAGGGATCCGTAAGTTAGTACTAATTACTGCTATATATACTATCAATCAAATGAATACCTTAGAATGATAAATATTTCCAGAAGATATATTTAACTATTTATTTGGTAAAATTGCAAAATCATCCTGATTGTTGGAGTGAAAAGTAATGCAGCTCAGTGAAATGTAATTTTGGTGAAGAGTTATTGTAGATTAAACCGGCAGTATTTGTGTGGTGTCAGTGGTGATTGATTTTGGTGTCTTTAGATGACAATGAGTGTTTGGCTGGCAACATCTGTGGAAACGGGACATGCACCAATGTCGAGGGAGGATTCCAGTGTAACTGTGCCGACGGTTTTATGCCAGGCATGGACAATACTTGTGAAGGTAACTAGTAAAAAATCACTTCAATACTGTTTCCTAAATTACAGCATGCTGTACAAATACAACTTTGTCATAATTGCTTCTTACTGAAATGGTCTCACCCTTGATTAGGGAGCCTAGACTGTTCAACAGTGCTAGGAAATGGTGTTTTTTTTCATTTTTTCAGAATCCTTTATTCATTCAATGTCTTGAGTCTGCAAACTGTGTCAGTTATTTCTTTAGTTTCTTACATTATGTTAAGAGGAGGATGCTACATGACATATGATGGGCATATATTGTTCTGCTCCTGTGGCACTCTTGCTTATGTTTTTGGGTAAAGTAACATTAGATATAAAAGAGAGATACAGTTGGAGAGATAGACAACATCATGTTTGCTGTCACTTTTCTTAAAGAAAATTTGTCTATATTTCTTGGATAAGATTTAAAATAAAATCATTATTTTTGTCATACCAGCAATTTGCTAAAGTCTGTCTGCTAACTTATTATTCAGACCCTAACTGAAAGTTATTTTTCTCTATACAGTGTGTTATATACAGGATACTGTCAAGATCACATATTTGTGTGTTGTGAAACTGGACAATGTTAGTTCTATAGCTGTGCATTGCTTTGAAACACATACTTGTTTGAGAAGCATGTACCTTCTACTTAGCCAGGTAATAGAAAATATGTTTGATGATGCAGTATGTTTTTCTTACTCTTTTTTAAGATGTCAATGAATGCTTGACTGACCAGAACAACTGTGCCTTCCGCTGTGTAAACATTCCCGGCTCCTTCCAGTGTATCTGTCCTAAAGGGTACAACCTGGCACCAGACGGTATTCACTGTCAAGGTCAGTCTGCAGGCTCCTGTACATCAGGATTAATGGAAAGCTTGATTGATTGATAGTGTTAACAAGTATAAGTAAAACATCTTCACTACCAAGATGCTTCAAAGAAAACATGCTCATGTAGCGGAACTGGACTGGGTCGATCAGGTAGCTCAAGTGGTAGAGCGTCCGTCTTGAGTTCGGAGGGTCCTGGGTTTGATTCCCAGTCTGGATGTTACATTTCTCTTTCTCCTGATGCATTTTCAACAAAGCAATAGTGGCGTACTTCGTCATAGAATTATCTTGATAATAGGGTATAATAACCTACCTATAGACAGGGTATAATAACCTACCTATAGACAGGGTATAAAGAATCTACCTATAGACAAGGTATAAAGAACCTACCTATAGACAGGGTATAAAGAACATACCTATAGACAGGGGATAAAGAACTACCTTTAGACAGGGTATAAAGAACCTACCTATAGACAGGGAATAATAATCTACCTATAGACAGGGTATAAAGAACATACCTATAGACAGGGGATAAAGAACTACCTTTAGACAGGGTATAAAGAACCTACCTATAGACAGGGAATAATAATCTACCTATAGACAGGGTATAAAGAACATACCTATAGACAGGGTATAAAGAACTACCTTTAGACAGGGTATAAAGAACCTACCTATAGACAGGGAATAATAATCTACCTATAGACAGGGTATAAAGAAAATACCTATAGACAGGGTATAAAGAACTACCTTTAGACAGGGTATAAAGAACCTACCTATAGACAGGGTATAGAACCTACCTATAGACAGGGTATAATAACCTACATATAGACAGGGTATAATAACCTACCTATAGACAGGGGATAAAGAACCTACCTATAGACAGGGTATAAAGACCCTACCTATAGACAGGGTATAAAGAACCTACCTTTAGATAGGGTATAAAGAATCTACCTATAGACAGGGTATAATAACCTACCTATAGACAGGGTATAAGAACCTACCTATAGACAGGGTATAATAACCTACATATAGACAGGGTATAATAACCTACCTATAGACAGGGGATAAAGAACCTACCTATAGACAGGGTATAAAGACCCTACCTATAGACAGGGTATAAAGAACCTACCTATATATAGACAGGGTGTAAAGAACCTACCTATAGACAGGGTATAAAGAACCTTCCTATAGACAGGGTATAAGAACCTACCTATAGACAGGGTATAATAACCTACCTATAGACAGGGTATAAAGAACTACCTTTAGACAGGGTATAAAGAACCTACCTATAGCAAACTATTTTATAGCAAGACTTTATGATTTGTAGATCATATTGTAGGATAACTGAATTCTATATTTCCTTTTTGTCATGATTATTTCATTATGGTTTGAGATATTTTTTAAAGTAATCGTGCTGATATAATTATATTCTGTACTAGTACTTGAAAATAGTCTCATTTTTCAAGAATAATTGCTTCTTCCCATTTGTTTATGTAAATTTATATAATTTTGGTGGACAGATGTGGACGAATGTCTGGCGGGAGACCACCAGTGTCGGTATGCCTGTAAGAATCTTGTTGGCACGTTCATGTGTGTCTGTCCAGAAGGCTACAGGGAGTTTGGACGCAACGACTGCAGAGGTAAGACCATAGTCAGTGGCCTAGCTTGAACTGGAATCAGGCATATCTTCTTCAACAGTGTTCAGATTTGTTTTCACATGTAAGAATCACTGGTTCCACTAAATCTTATAACAGATTGAAAAATTCAGTTTTGCTTTATTCACATATTTACATAAATGATCTATATTTAGAATATTTTATTATCTATTGATGAGAGGGGGAAAAGATAGTCTTTGCAAAGCATGAAATCATGTTTTTTGTTTTTCAAATTGATAATGTTTCTTGTGTTTGATTACAACTTCTCACAATAGTTAAAGCTTCTTGCTTCTGATCCCAAAGTTATCATTTTCATCCCCAAAAAGCAATTTATCAAGTTTCAAATAGTTTTGGGTAACTGCAACTTACCATGCACAGATTATGATAACATTGGAATTTTCATCTATTTCTTCCATATTGAAGAAAAATAATTGCCTGGTGTGTATTGATTAATTTAATATTTAATAAGGTTTTATCCGATCTTAATTTGACCCCTTTGGGTTTGAATCAATACATTAGAATAATCAAAAGATTGCTTGGGACTTGTGTACAAATGCAGGCAAGTTATGTGTTGTGTTACAGACATTGACGAGTGTGCCACAATCCCTGACGCGTGTAGAAATGGTCGCTGTATCAACACCATTGGCGGCTACAGGTGTCGCTGTCAACCTGGCTTCTCCACCAGTCTCGATGGCAAGGAATGTCGAGGTAAGCTGCGTATGTCCTCAGATACAGCAAACCCTTTCATGTACATGGTGCTTTCTACGATACAATTAGTTATGGGGTGATATGGTGCAGCCATTTTATCTTTCCCAAGAAATGGTTTGTTCTATCCTCACCAATGAATACAAAATATGAAATTACTGTGAAATCACAAATTTTCGTGGGGTGTTTAATTTCATTGCTTTCATAGGTATTCTTCATCCACGAATGTATAGGTCCACGAAGTAATAACAAGTAGGATATGAAGCAGTTCTTGGTTTGAGTGGGATACTCATAATCCACGAATTTGTGACCCACAAATTGGTGTTTTGTCAGGAAACCACGAAATTTGTACCCCATATCTGATTTCACAGTGTATTTCTTTTAATTTTGGTGAGATCATTCATATGGATATTGCCTCCTGCTATCTCTCAGCGGCTTGGTCATATCACTTTAATAATTCTGATATGCTTTACTATATGAGTTTGTGGTTTTATTTTCACATTTAGCATCTGACAAAACATTTTAGGTCTATAAAAACACATCAACTTTTAATTGTAAAGAAAATCTACAGAAATCATTTGCTGGATTTTAGATACTAGGGAAGACTACTGCTTCTTTGATCTGACTGGGGGTCGCTGTAGAATTGGACCGTCCATCAGGAGAACCACACAGGTAGAATGCTGCTGTACCGGGGCTGCTGCCTGGGGACGAGGCTGTGAACAGTGTCCCCGTGTCAACTCTAGTAAGTATGGATACAACTAGATCACAGGGGATCCTTCTGTGATAATTCAAATTAAAAGGGATGTTAAGACACAATTTACAAATAAAAATCTGCAATGCCTTGAATGGACTTCCAAAAAAGACTTTCTCTTCCAAAATACTTCTAATTGTCTGTATGATTAAATAGCATTTAAAACCCCAAGTTTATAACCATACTGTTGGCTGTTAGTATCTGAATTAATGAATCATCTCGCTCATTAATCAAACAACGATCAATGACTTACAGTAACCACTAGTGACCTGCTGTCTATTTGTAAAAAAAAAAGCGAATGATTTTGTCAGCTTGACATATCAAGATGTATTTTAAATACGGTAATGGAATTACTCTATAGCAATATCCAAGTATCAGTTTGTAAGATCAGAAAATCATCTTGATTTGTTTACAGGACAGTTCAGGAAGATGTGTCCAGATGGACTAGGGACCAGACCTGGAGGAGAAGGTGAGCAGTCACTCATTTATAACCTCTTTTACTTGTATCACATGTCTATAAAGTTAGAGACCAGCTCTTGTAAAATGTTCATTTAGAACGATAATGGCCACAAAAATTCCTAAACTATCAATTTTCAGACTGTATATAATCAATAGGTACTGTAAACTGGGAAATTTTCGTTGCAGTTTAATTTTCGCCTTTTTCGTCCTCCGTAAAGAAGGTAAAGTTGGCACGCATAAATACACAATGTACTAGACATAGTGCTAACATGTGAAGGGCAAATATAACACTGCAGAAACCGATCATACCAGTAAAGGGCAAATATAACACTGTGCAGAAACCGATTATACCAGTAAAGGGCAAATATAACACTTCAGAAACCGATTATACCAGTAAAGGGCGAATATAACACTGTGCAGAAACCGATTATACCAGTAAAGGGCGAAAATTTGACTGGGTGAAAGTTCCCCCGCATACAGTAATTTTAATAAACCAAAATTAATGGTCAGTAAGTGAACAACCACTGAGAGTATATCCTCATTGAGTGAATTATCACCGAAATTTTATCCTCCTTAAGTAAATTGACAGTTATTGTTAATTGTTAATTGTGTTACAGATATCAATGAATGCCTGATATTCCCTGGGAGGTGTAAGAATGGTCAGTGCATCAACAAGCCGGGATCCTACGGTTGTATCTGTGACCGTGGATACAAGACCGATCCAATGGGCACCAGCTGTATAGGTCAGTTGCCAACCAACACTCTGCTACTATCAAAGCATTTCTGTTTTCATACAAGATATTACATTGCATATTATGTTTAGTTGATGGGAGTGTATAGTAATCCCTTTGTCTAATCATCTGTCCATATCAAAAACGATATTAAACAAATTCATAATTTGCTGGTCCACAGGAATTCCTCTTATGTAAATATGATCTGTCTAAAGATGAATATTCTTTACTTCGAATCTGAATTTGTAACCTCCATGCTAAATGTGTGCGTCAGACCGCTCTCAATGGTTCCCATCGCTGTAAAGTTGTGGTATAAACTTGTAGATGTAAATGAGTGTGAAGACCAGCGCTCACCGTGCGAGTTCACCTGTCTGAACCTGGTGGGCAGCTACAAGTGTACCTGTCCTCCTGGGTATGTTCTCAACATGGACGGCAAGACCTGCCGAGGTAAGACACTGACTTCCCCTCACCACATATTATAACATGATACTGTCACGTGTTTATAAGATAGTTACAAGATAGTGGGATAAAAAACTGTTTTCAAAAGTGTTTGTCGAAAACAGGCAGAAATATATATATATCTGTTGAAAAGTTTACGTAAGATTGACAGAAAAATATTTGTACACTTTTAAATAACCTATCTATTTATTAGGTTGATGGGAACTTATTTTCAGTGACTTGTTTAAAAAGTTTATTAACCATAGATAGCGACTCAGCAGTTTTCTCAGATATTCCATGTTGGTGCAAAGGTATTAATTGATGTTCTTGTATTAATTACTGACGTTGATCTGTGTTTCTGTTAGATCTGGACGAGTGTGCCACAATGCAGCATAACTGTCAGCACAAATGTATCAACACCGTGGGCAGCTTTGAGTGTGGCTGTGCAACCGGATTCCGTCGCGGCGTCGGTAACAGATGTGTGGGTGAGTACACTTGTCACACTTCTTCAAGTGTCAAAATTAACAGTCTGTCGTAGGTATTGGTCTTTCTGATATAAGCTGAAAACAATAAGTAGCTGTCTCAAAAGAAATTTTCATAATTGAAATTTCATAGTTTGACGTTTTAACTAGTGAATAGAAGTTTAATTTGTCTAGACTAACCAGAACCTGTGGGTTTCCCTACATACACTTATTTGTAAATTAAACCTGTATAGTATGGTTATACGTTTAGTTTTGTATTATTTTTTTATTTGCTAAATCTTCATTTTGTTATTTTCTTGTTTCTGATTGTATACCTGTATTATACACCTGTAGATATTAACGAGTGTGAGGAGCAGCCTCAGTTGTGTGGTCCTAAAGGAACCTGTAACAACACACCTGGCAGCTTCAGGTGTGTCTGTATGAGAGGATACATTGTGGACCAATCCGGCACAAATTGTGTGGGTGAGTTAATAGAGACTGTTACACCAGACGTCACAGGAAAAAAATGTGTGGGTTAAATAACTATAATTTTGTTTTCGTCCTTTGTAAATGTTCTGATTTGCCCCATAGCCATTTTTGAAGAAAGGGGAACAACTCTGTTCACTCTCGGGCTTCTTTATGTCCTGTTTCCTGAGTTTATAAACACTTCAGGTAGAAGTTAACTACAGTGGTATTTACCGTATCAAAAATATATAGGAATTTGTATTTTTTTTAAGTTTTTAATATTCCTTTATAAGAGTAATATTGTTAAGCTGGGTGTTTTTTTGTCATTGATAATTTAATTAGTATATATTGCCCTTTGTTTTGGTGGCCAGACATCGATGAATGTGCTAATGGGAAGTGTACGGATGGCTGTGAGAACACCCCTGGTGCCTACCGCTGTCAGTGTCCACCAGGCTACACCCTGCACCCCTCTATTGACCAGTGTATAGGTAAAGTCTACACCCACAACCCAATACCACTGTATCAGTAAATATACAAGCTACCTTTCAAATTCATACTTAAAATTTGCAGTGAATCCTTATTAAGTTTGACATATTTATTCTGTTTAAATTTCCAAAGAATGGATTTTGTAGTTTTGGATAAAATGAGAATACCTGTGGTAGGTATAACTATTTGACTACTGGTAACCAGTCTTTGATAAGAATATACAAATTACAGAGTAGAGTTTTGTTAAATACAGGTGTCCCATCATATTGAAATGTAAGAACATAAAAGTTTGAAATGCAGAATAAGCCACTATAGGATATGAATAACCAATCCGCCAGAACAAAAAGATGGCACAAGTTTGATGGAGAAGGTGTTATGTTACAGATGACAATGAGTGTAACCTGCAGGGAGTGTGTGGACAGGCAGAGTGTAGCAACCAAGAGGGTAGCTACAACTGTTTCTGTCCGCCTGGACTCGAGTTTGACCCCAATATCATGGCTTGTGTTGGTAAGTCCTATCCTTAAAGAAAAATACTGACATCATAAACCTGACACTTTGGCGATTGAGCAAGACAAAAATATATTCAATTTCACAAATTCAAAAACGTATATTAATAAATTTTGAGAGTCAGTTGTTAAGGTAATATTGGAAATCATTTAATATCAATGACAATTTTCTGATGCAAATAATCACATTATTAACCAGCAATGACATTTTATGACTTTAGCTTTGATCACATGAGTTTAATTCACAAAATATGATGACATCGACTTGTTATATAGTTGTAATTGGTATTTAAAGATTTGAAAGCATAGATTTTTTTTCCAGATTTGTTAAATCTCTTCTTAATTACATTGTTATGTAATTTAAATGAATTATATAATTACCTGTACAATTACATCTGGTTTATTTTATGCCTTAGATCTAAATGTGTGCACCAGTCACCCCTGTCTGTTTGGTTGTTCACCCAGCGGAGCCTCTTTTGTGTGTGGATGTCCGACAGGCTACCAGAGTATTGGACAAGGGTAGGTCTTCATTGAGCACACCATCACATATACAGTGGTTCCACTTTCATATTTGATATTACTTACATGTCTTACAAATAGCTTACATATTAAAAGGATTGCTAGCTTTATAAAAGTCTAAAAGCAGCAATATGTTATAACAATGTTTTAATGAAATAAAACAATGCACTGCATTGGCATATTAACTGCATAACAAGCTTAAGAGAGTTAAGGGATAAAAGTTTGATATATTTTAAGTCATTCTGATCAGCTTTTCTGGCCTTGAGGTATGAGGTCAAATTGGCAGTCAGATTTCACTCATTTTAAATACCTAAATTATATAAAAGTGCAAAGTTTCGCACTAAAACATTTTGTCTTATTTTGCAATTATTAAATAAAAAATGTACACTCATGAACAAAAAGATTCACTTTGAAATATGATTGCAGCATCATTTCTACTAAGAAATTAGACATTACAAGTAGCCAAATTGGGAACATTTCAACTTATACAGTATGCGTAAATTATTAATGACAATTTGTAAGGAAGATCAAATTAGTCTTTGTATCTCCATGTGAAGTAATACTATGTTTTGTATTTCAGCCATTGTGTTTCCACCATCACACCACCAGAGGGTGATCTAAATGATATATACCCCAACGGCGATATCCCCCACGTTACCGCGCCTAAAGATGGGTCAGTGCCCCATGGGGAGGGGTGCTATGAGTGTGATATTGAGGACATGGACCTGCCCCTCAGCAAGCGCAGCAAGAGGGCTGCCAAACATCAGAATCACAAAGTAAGGAAACACTGTAATCAGAGTCTTAACTGGCTTATGTTTTAAATGAGAGTGGAACAAAAATGATAGCCTTGATAAAAGTCACGAGGGCCTGATCCATATTTTTCTTCACAGTCTCACAGAATGAAATAGCTATGGAAGATAAATTATTGTACACCCTGAGGTAAATCTGGTATGCCCTGAAGTCAGTCTAGTGTGTTTGTGTTGTAGGTGTCCAATAGTGGTAAAAACAGAAGCCAGCAGCATCAGATGTCAAACAGTGCATCAAGGTTCAACCAGAGTGTCCTTGACCCAGACAAGCCAATAGTGCTATACCTTAACAGGTCCAGCATCCGACGGAAAACTAAAGTGATGAAAGTGCTCCCCGCTCTGACTGCACTCAAGAACAATATCAGATACTCAATTGCACAGGGCAATGAGCGAAAAATGTTCAGCATGCACCAACGTAAGGGCATTAGTTCCTTACGGTTCAGGAGAAAACTTCACAAACCTAAGGTGTATCATCTCCGCATTGCAGGTCGACCAATTCACAAGAAGACAGAAATTGCTGGTAAAAATGTAAACCTTAAGAAAATAGCAATTCGACTAGATATCCATCTTGTGTGAGGCTGCCAAGGTTGACTGCTAAGTTAAGAATGCACTGATATTGACACTTGTAGGTTGATACTCTTCAGTCGGCCATTAGGGCAGAGCAGACACAGGCAAAGGGAGACAAGTCTGTGCCAGTTTGGATATTATGTTTGACAGTAGCTGTACGCTTGGCCAGGGTTGACCTAACTTGTATAGTACATGTAGTTTGTGACACAGGCTGCGAGGAATCACCCCGCAGCACACGGGAGCTACCTAGCACTTCCCTGTGGATAGAGAGCAACCCTTATTTAAGAAATGTATATTTTAGTATGGTGCTACGTGTATGGTAATGTGCAGCGAGTTTCATTAAGATATTGTTGTATGGTTCTGTCATTGAATAGAAATTTGAAAGGCGGATATTGATGTGTATTGTTGCATGCTATGTGGATAGACCTATACAAAAGTTGAATTTCTCTGGGAAGTTCTAGGTTTATTTTACCAAACAATGGAACTGTTCATGAACTCGGCACTTAATTTGGAAATTTCTGTAGGCTATAATTTTTACACATTTTTACCATATTTTTTTTTAATGAAATGGCATTTAACTTTCTCTTAATACATATAGTATTAAAACCTTTGGAATTATTTTAAGCTAGTTCAAAGATGGTTTAGTCTTTGATTACATTCCCATAAAGTCAAATGGCATTTTGTTTTCAATTAAATATTTTTTATGCTTTTCATTACAAAATTTTGCTTACAAAACATTAAAGATGTCTACTGGTATATTTAAATCAGAAAACATTATTTTGAATAATTTATGTTTACTATTATCTCAAGTTTACGTCAGTTCACTTAAATTAAAATGCTGAATGAGCATATTGCATGGTACAGCTTCTGTCCATTTGTCTGTTTATTTCATTAGTTTTTCATAATGTCAACTTCTTAAAAAATGCTTGCCCAAATGTGATCAGTTGCACTTAAAACTGTATAAGGTTCTACAAACGTCTAATTCGATATTTCATATTTATCATGTCATCTTCTGGAGAGAAATAAGATAAATCTGCCAAGATGAGTTTAACTCTTTCACCACTGTAGGCCATAATGGGCTCATCCAGATCAATGCATGGAAGAGTTAACTTAAGTTACATAGGGGTTAAAGCACCTGTCTATAAAGATTACCTCCTATAATATCCCAATGATGTTTTTACCTATAGTAACTTGTGTGTAGAAAACATCTGTATATGAAGAGCATTTCTGTTCTCTCCCCTTGGTGGTCCTCACTGACAGGTTATACTGTATGGTTAAGGATCCCCCACTGCCAAAACCGGTAACCACGAATGGGAAACAGTTGTACCGGCGTCACAGTAGTTGAAAATCAATCATTACTGAAAAGAAACCCATACTTTGCAGAATCTCTGTGACAAAAAAAAAAAAAAGGACAAAGAAAAATCAACAACAGTGTTCCAAGAGTATAAATGCAAGAGAGCCTGGCAAGGATTCAAACCCTTGACCTTGATCAGCGCAAGTTCCCTGGCTCAATCCCTCTACAGTTATATTCAAAATGACATTAAGGGGAGGTTATTCTATTTGTGAAAAACTAGTATTTTTCCTGCTGTGGGATAGGAATCCTTAAGTTGTCATTATTTGAAATGTAATTTCAGACATGGCATAGACTAGAATGTCACATTTCAAGATATTTATAAAAAGTTTCGGTCAACAATTCAATCCTATAGGCCTTTCGATTTTAATTTTCATGGAATCAACCAAACTTCATATTTTTTATCCAACTTACAGTATATGTTATCTTGTACCACGGCTGATATGTTATTAGTCTACTCGTTCCACTGAGAACACTAACGAAGCACCTGTTGGTCAGTATGGCGTTCTTAAAACTTTCATAATTAATTTCTTGCATGAACCACCATAGCCTGCACATTTCTTTCAATTATAACATTGTTGTCAGATTAGTACCATTAATTATAATGATATAAACAGCGTATGAAAAGTTGATATTTACGTGTAAAAATGAGCAGTCGCTTTAAATCTCATTCACATTGTTTTAAATGAAATGTTCACTCATGTGTAATAGGTAGAGAATGCTGCTGGTGTATTTATGTGCAGTGTAGCACTGACTTGACATATTTATCTATATTCCTATTAGAGTATATGTATATGTATAGATATAGTGCTAATATATGTGATATAACTAAGTATAGGAGGCTGAGTGAGAGTGTTTGTGTGAGAGGTCTTACTCCAGTGTTGACTGTTTTCTGTCTGGCAGATGTCTGAATGAGATAAAAAAAAAACCAACAACAACACTTTAACACCTTAAACAGTAACTTGATGTCAGTATTGTACTGGTATTACATGTTGTCTCTAGAACCGTTATTTCGTATCAAATATTAACTTTAAATAAGCTGACTTTAAAAAAAAAATATTACTGCAGTTTATTTTAAATTACTTATAAAGTATGGAAAAATTGTGGCTTATCTTTTTTGAATATTTTTGAAAAAACAACCCCTTCAGTTTTAGAACACTGAAATATTTGTCCAAATCTTGTGTTTGTTGCTCAATTCAAATAAGTGTCCTGCATTCTGTCCCATTATAAAATTTTCAGGAAAAATATTTAATTCTTGTCCTTGTTTTGGAAAGGTAATTCTTCATCCAAAATGAACTAGGGACACGTTGATATCCAAAGAATCTGAATCTATAAAAACAAAAAACGATATGATACCTGGGTAAGTGAAGATTTGAAACCGACTGAACAAAAGATGAAGTGTAATAATGTATAGTAATGGAAGTGAAGTGTTACTATCATGTTTTGTATGCTATCAAACACAAACGTGCCTGGATACTTCCACTTTTAAGGCAGAACATTTTGTAAATTTATGCAGAGTTTTGACTAATAAATATGATACTGGATATCCATTTCTTAGCTTCTGTTTTAACTTTTTACTATCCATGATTGATCATGTGAGATATTGCTTTCTATCTTGATCTTCTTTTGGTCTGTAAAAACGAACCCCCTGTTGTCTGATACATTTTTAGCTCAACTGGCCCAAAGGGCCAAGTGAGCTTATGCCATGGTGTGTCATCCGTTGGCGTCCAGCGTCAATATTTTAATTTAAAACAACTTCTTCTCAATAACCAAAAGGCCTATGATGATGATATTTGGCCAGAAGCAAACTGGGATGAAGGGCTACCAAGTTTGTTAAAATAAATGACCGTCACCTATTTTCAAGGTCACAGGGGTCAAATATGTTAAAAACTTTAAACAACTTCTTCTGAATAACCAAAAGTCGTAGGATGATGATATTTGACCAGTAACATGCTAGGATGAAGGGCTACCAAGTTTTTTCAAATGAATGACATTGACCAACCTGAAAGTCACAGGGGTCAATGTTTTAAAATCTTCAAACCACTTCTTCTTAATAACCAGAAGGCCCAGGGTACTGATATTGGGCCTGTAGCATGCTGGGATGAATGACCTTGCCCCACTATCAAGGTCACTGGGGTCAGATGTCTTAACATCTTCAGACGACTTCTTCTCAATAACCAAAAGGCCTATGATGATGATATTTGGCCAGAAGCAAACTGGGATGAAGGGCTACCAAGTTTGTTCAAATGAATGACCTTGACCCACTTTCAACCTAATGTCCTTGTTCGACATTCAAGGACACATGCTTCATGTTTAAATCTTTTAATAGGTTCTTGTGAATTAAAACAGTGAGATTCTGCCTGTAGCTGTATTTTAGTCCACTTTTAAGATTACAAGTGTTGAGATTAATACCAGGTGAGCGATGCAGGCCCATTGGGCCTCTTGTTAACTTCTCAAGAAAAGCTGCAGCCACAGGGACCTGGGAATTTGTTACAGCTATATTTGGACCTAAACTAAGGTGTTCAGAGTAATTGTACATGTTTTTGGAGTTTAGATCGTCTTGTGACAGAAACTTCTGAATATTTTAGCATATTGGACCCAAAGGGCAAAGTGAGGTGTTGCAATCCGTTGGCACCCGTCCGTCCCGTTTAATTTTTGTTATGTCGTCTTGGGAGCAACGGTGACATCACTGTCCGCGCAAACGGGTTCCGTCCGGAATACTTGCATTTCCATGAACATTTTGACGTTACTGTAGTATCAATTGCCTTGCCAAGATAAATTATAGCCGTCCGCGCTATCTTCGATTTTGTGAGTTTCATTGTGTTGACCCTGCCTCTGATGTTCGATTTTAACCCAGATCGGAAAAAAAACATTACCGCCTGCTGGGGTTTCTTGTTTTTTTATTGAACGAATTCCGCTTACGAACCAATAGGCGCATTTGAACTATTTAATATTGAATGTGGTAGGAAATATCCCTATGTGATGCTGATTCAGATTTACGAAAACAATAGTGCAGGCCCCTTCTAAAACCATGAGGGGCAAAAATGGGTAAATGTATGAATAATTGCTAACCACTATTTTGGGACTAACGAAATCTCCGATTCGACCCGTTACAGTTGATGTGCCATGTAGTAAAATGTGAGAAAAAATATAAATATTTTACATGACGCGTGTTTGGTCCTTTTTGGAGATGAGGAACTTCTTGGGAAGGACAAGTAAAAACGAACAGGAGAATAAATATCAATGTAACCCCGAAACCGACGGAGGAAAAAGAACAAAGCTTTCTCACATACTTCACAGGGTCATCTCGTTGTTGCTAGGGAAAAGATTATAAGACTCTTTCTTGAATACTAGACTGAGATATCCGCATTTCCAGCGGAAAATTCTATCCGACCCACGGGTCTAGATCGCTTGTACGTGCAGACTGGCGGGGGAATTGTTCGTTACGTCATTTTATGACGTTTTGGGGTCAGTCAGTGTCATTGACGTCACTAACAATTTGCAATCCGGGCTTCATCCCTGACGTGAGGTAAGGATAAGATCATTCAAACCCTCGGGATAAAATATTGAGCAAAAGATTCGGCAAAGCATCGGGTCTCCTGCTCAATATTTTATCCATTGGGGTAGGTAGGGAAAGACAGCTGACACGCGCTAT